CTATCAACATTATTGAACGCTCTTTCTATCTTGTATAACTGTATTAGCCTTGCCTTCTTATTGTATCTTCATGTTCGTTTTTTATGACAGCAACAACATCCTTCGAAATTAAATTGCAAATGACGATACCGCTTTCTGGAAGCCTTAGGGGGTGATTGGATATGAATTCAACTAGTAAAAAACTAGTTTGTTTTAACTATAGTTAAGTTTTAAAAAAGTAGTATGGTTAGTTGTAGTGGATATATTAAAATAATATTTAAATTAAAATAATTAAAGTTGATTTGATGTAAAAGTAGGAGAAAATAATTGGAAGTGATAATTAGTTAAAATTATGTGAGTGAATGAATAGTGAATTAAAGTTGATGTGATGGGTAATAATGATTGGTTGATATTATTTAATTATATTGATAATATTGGAGATAGTAGAGTTGAGTTAAGATTGAGTTAAATTTGAGTTTTGAGTGAGATATTTACTTAAGATTGAGTTAAATTTGAGTTTTGAGTAAGATATTTACTGTTGAAATTATATACAATCATGCCCTTAGTAAGTGAAATTTCACTTTTGAATACGATCATGTAACTTTCTTTTCACTATAGAATTTCCTGCTCCACCACTTGCCAAGTTAATAACTTTTGCATGATTCCATAAAGTTGTATCATCAAAATCATTTTTTTTGTGGGTTGGGTAGTCTATAAAGCTGTATCAAAGTCGGGGCTGCCATGCACGTTACTCGAACGATTCGTTGGACTCCGCCCGATATAGGTTGGATAAAAGTAAATACGGACGGAGCTCATAATAGGACAACGAGACTGAGCTGTGCCGGAGGTCTTCTCCGTGACGAGGTCCGTAGTTGGAAAACGGGGTTTCTCATGAACATAGGGGCCTACACCATCACGGGTGCCGAATTTGTCAAATCTATAAGTAAAAATTGTATTAGCCATGTGTGTCTCCCGTCAGTTCATTCCCCGTAAATATGATTATATTTATAAATCTTCGTTAGAAAATAATCGGGATAGCAATTCGTAATTTTTTAAATTACGTATTATATTCATAATTTTATTTTAATTCGAAAAGTATATTTGTAAATTTTATTCATTTTTCGAGATTCCAAGCGGTATATTCAGATTTATAGAGTAACTAACTATTCATACTAATTCATTACATCAGGATATATTTTTAAAAAAACAATGTTATAATGTTGGAAACGGACGTGAGATCAATCAAGTTATTATTGAGTTAATTTTGTTTTAAAAAAAAGCTACAACGCATCACTTTGAATTATAATAATAATAATAAATTAATCACTTTCTTTTTATTAAGATAAATGGTTTTTAATTAAATATTAGCTTTATAAAATAGAATTTATATTTTTTTAGATGTGGATGTTTTTGAATGGGATGTGATGATTTTATTGATTATGTATTCTAATTGTAACTGATAGTGTAGTTAAAAAATAAATATGCTCAATTTATTTGTACAAAAAATAAATAAATTAATTAAATAAATATGCTAAATTTTTCATTCATTCATCAAATAAAATGGACAACTATATTTGCCAATTATTTCTAAAATTCAGAATTACCAAATTTCATCAAATACTATAGAAAACAAACTAATAGAAGTTCTCTAACCATCAAACATAGTAATACCCAAATAAACTAATANAAAAAAAAAAAAAGATCTTCAAGATCAACAATGATTAATATTTTTTTGCCGTGTTTTTGGTTCATGTGATTTAACCAAATCTAGATTATGTGTCTTTTGAAGGAATAAATTCCTTCAGTATAAGGAATTTTGTTTCTTTCAACTATCCAAATTCATATTCGTATCGGCAATTTGAAATTTTGAATTACAATAGAATACGACACTATGAATACAAAATATCCTTTAACAAATAAATCAGATTCAATCTAAGATTTAGTATATTTAAAAATAATAAAATTATTAATTAGGCAATGTTATGTGATACATATATCTAAGTCTATTTCCTTAACGTTTTACCACTATTAACAAATTGACAAATGAAAGCTGTCGATCTAACCATACGAATTAGCCATTTTCTGTTAAAAAAAAGTTTTCGATTTTTATTTTATCGGCCGAGTTTTTTTTTTTTAAATAAANTTTTATTTTATCGGCCGAGTCTTTTTCTTTTTTAAATAAAAAACTGCTAAATATTTAAATCTATTAGCCGATGTTATTTTCTATAAGTTGCAGAATTTGAGAAAATAAAAAAGGTCAGCCAGATTATGTTAAATCTATGTGTCACAATTTTCGATATTTAATCATCCTATTTTTCTTTTTATTAAAAAAAATATGCCAAATGATTAAATTATATTAGCCGATCCATTGTCTAAAAAAGTATAAGATTTTGTGAGAATAATAAAGGGAAATCCCGATTATGCTGCTGACGAGGAGGGATGCCGTCAAAGGGCCGGATTTGGGCTTTGCTAAAGATACCGGTTCAATATGTCATTTCCGATAGCCTTGTTTCGGATTTTCTAGCGATGACTACCCCCGCTTAGATGAGTTCCTTCGGTTTGTTTGACTTTGACATGTCATATAATGCAACAAACTCCAAATGGATTGGTTTGCATTTAATGCTTTCGTGCTCTTAAAAAAATTGCCATCAATGAAAAGTAATTAATGCTAAATGACTTTGACCATAAATTTGACTTGCTATTTTTAAAAAATGATAATTCTTATTATATATATATAGATTACGTAAAAACTGATTGTACCTANCTGATACTCATATCCCCCTATATATTAATTGAGAACGTACTGAGCCTATGTGGCAGACTCGCATGCTTCGAGATCCTATGTGGCAAAAGTACATGCTTCGTTCTTAGGCTTGTGTAGATTTTAATTTACTTCCAATCCAAAAATAATTAGGTTCGGATTATCCATAAATATGTTGATTATTTATGGTCATGGTATTAATTGGATTTTAGTATCATTTCTTATTATAACCAATGAATTGTAAATATATTTTAAAAGTTAATAACTTTTTATTTTTTATTAGTAATAAATATATAATATATCAAATTAATCATCTCTTGATGAGCTTCGATTCAACATTCATATTGTATGTATAAGAAAAATAAATTATATTTATCTTTATAACAATAATAGAATTGTTTTTTTAATATTAATTAGAAAAATAAAATTATTTATCACTTAATATATTTATATTTAAAATAGTTATATGATATAAGTTATAAATATTGCTACAATATAACACATGTAAGTAATACAAGTAACAAGTGTCATTCTAAAATATAATATATATATTTTTGTAAAAAAAAGTAAATAAAATTTAAAATAATTTTTCTCATTAAATTCAAAATTTAAGAATAATTTTTTAACAAGCACCCGTGTAATACACGGGTGTTGAATTGTCATAATTGATATTAAAATGAAACTTCACATTGACTAGTATTCAATCATGTGCCTTTGCAAAAATGTGAATAAAGTATTATAAGTTATTTTCATGCATATAATTTTAAAATTATAAATTAGATAATGATGTTATATTTTAAACATAGAGTATTATAGTTATATTTATGTATATAATATTAAAATTATAAGTTATATAACTATTTGATTACATGTGAGTCACTATATTGATTGCGTAAAATATAATAAAAAATGTAATTTTTTTTTTAATTTTGAGGGATCATGACCAATTAATTAATTAAAAATATTAAATTTATTATGTGCAATGTTTAATGGCCCAATATGCATGATGTTCTAATTCTACTGGAAGATGACAAAGTTTACCAAATACCAAGCGATAAGAAGACATACCTATAGGAGTCTTATAGGCGGTTCTATACGCCCATACCGCATCATCAAGTCGTGTACTCCAATCCTTCCTATTTGAACTCACAGTCTTCTCAAGTATAGATTTGATCTCTCTGTTCGAGACCTCTGCTTGACCACTCGTCTGAAGATGGTAAGCGGTAGAAGTTCGATGGATGACACCATACTTTTTAATACCTAGCAGTCTAATTTTAATTATCAGTCTAACCCTAATCCTAAAATAAATACGTAGAAAATAATCTTCTCTCTCCAAAAATATCCTAATAAATTAAAATAGTCTACAAATAAATAAAAACTCCATATATTCTATTATTTCTCTTTCTAACTCAAGACTCCTTAATTCTTTCAACTCTTGTAGGAAATTAGCGTGCCCACGCCTTAGTTCAAATTCGTCTCTTTCACCCTCCAATCATCATAAATTCCAAATTCCGAGATATCCTACAAAAATTATAAAATCTATTAAAATCAATAAATAAGTTCAAATAAACACCGAAAAAGTATGGAAAACATGATAATTAATATGCCAAGAATACGACTTATCATTATAACAATTTATGCGATTTTAAGAGATTTTACTATGACATTATGACAATTTAATTTATTTTAAAAAATCTCTTAATCAGATAAAAAAATATAATATTGATTTTAGAATAAATAACTTGAATAAAACGTTTTACAATATAGTTTTTTATGTTTATGTACCTTTATATATCATGTAGTGTAAAATATAATTATTAATTTTATAACTATAATATAATAAAAAATATAATTATTAGCGAAGTAATATAAAATGTAAGGATTTTTGTTTTTATTAACAAAAAAAGAAAATGCTAGAAGGGAAATATTTTCTCATTAATGGATAGGGTGGATTAATAATAATAATAATCATAATACACATAAACCCGTATTTACTGGAGGACAAATTAGAGAATCAACAAATTCTTTATGGAGGACACAGTTGGTGGACATAAATTTCGTCAAAGGTGGTTCATTCCTATTCGTAAATTGTTTAATACACATAAACCCGTATTTGCTGATATTACGGTTTTATATAACTTACGAGTTACAATAGTTAACACCCACATATTTTGTCTGGATTTCAAAATTTAATCTTCTTCCTCAACTCCGCCAATCCCCACTATCCCCACTCTCTCTCTCCCTCAACCTCTTCTGTAACCACCAACACTTTTTCACCTAAAAAAATAAAAATTNGTAAATGTTCTGCAAAAACTTAAAGGAAAAGCTACTAAAAATCGAATCTTGATTTTCTTCTTTTTTTTTTTCCCCTTTCGAAAAGGCAAAATCCCAGAAAATGTCGGGCAGCCCATCTGCTGAAAGTCCCGGGCCGACAAATTTCTACAAGAAGATGAAGCGTTTGAGAATTTTAGAGCCGTCGGTTGGAATTCTCGGGCTGACTGTCTGTGTGATTTTGGGGTTTTTCGTTTTGGATTACGGAAGCGTGGCGAAGAGACTGAGGCTTCCGAACGAGAGGTTTTTGTGGCTCAGATTTGACGGCGAGGAAGGTCAGAGTAGAAAGATTGATTTTTTGACGGAGGCTAACGATGGGTGTGACGTGTTCGACGGCGATTGGGTGTGGGACGAGGGTTATCCGCTGTACCAATCGAGGGATTGCAGGTTCATGGATGGTGGATTCAGGTGCTCTGAGAATGGAAGGCCTGATTCTTTCTACACTAAGTGGAGATGGCAACCCAGAAATTGCAACTTGCCTAGGTACTAATTGTTTTCTTTTTTTTCTTTTTTTTTGTTTTTTGTATTTTTTGGGTAATTTATTCTTGTTTTGGTTAGTTTTAGCCCAATTATATATATAAAAAAAAATCTGCAAAATCTGATATTTGATAATGGTGCTCCAAGGTTTGAATGTTCCTGTGTATATGGATAATAATTAAATTTTCTTCTGTTCAGATAAGCAATTTATGTGATTTGATTGGTTCTGTCTCTCCCTGTTGCTAATAACAAATAATAATAATCGATAAAATGTTAATTACTAAATTTTAGTTGTCTGGTGTCCACAACAGAATGTGGTGTGTTATTTTTTCTCATGTTTTTTTTTTAATTAAAAAAGAGTTGTGCGTATCTTTTTTCCTCCCTTTTCGTGAATGCTTGTCCTTTTTCCAATTACAACTCTAATTGTAGTATTATCCTTTTTTATGGGGGATGTTTTTTTACTTTTATTTTTTGCTTAATTGCTATTTAAATCCTTAAATCTTGAGGCTGTCCATTCTAGTCATATAATTTTCTTTTATTATAATTTGGACCCATGAACTGTCATCTTTCAGCCCATGATGTGACCGTATTGAAATTTGAAATTGTCTGTGCTCTATATTTATTCTAATAAAAGGGTACTTTGGGAATATAAGAAATTTCAACCCAACCCACCGTGTGCACAAAATCATATTGACAGAAATTAGAACTCATGAGACTTTTACAAAATACAAAATTTACAAAACTTGCTCTTTAAGAAGTTAATATGGGTAGATTTTGCAAAAAGGCCTACATAGTCAAGAAATATATTTTGCAATAGAAACTTGTTGAGAAAATGCTTTCTTATGAAGCCTCATGAATACTTGACTGCCCCTTTTGTCCTTAAGACTCAACCTCATAATTTTGGTCTCTTTTCGTATGGGTTACTCAATCATGGACTAATCTATTAGTAATCTGATCTGAGTCTCAGTAATCATCATCATATTATGTACTTTTAGTATATTATTGCAATTAAGCCATTCATTCACTTACCAAAATGAATGTATGTTCATGCATTTTTCCATCCAAACTGTTATTTCTTAATTAAGAAGTCATCATCTCATGATTATGATCCTTATTCATCATACATTTTAGACTTCTCAATCTTGTTAAAGCAGTCATGCATATTTTTTCATTATTTTATAATAATGATAATAATAATAATAATTGTCATGCAACACGTAATACTATTCAAAATTATAATAAATTTCAAGAAGGAAAATTAACTATGGATTTGAAAACAGATTTGATGCCAAGGCCATGCTCGAGAAATTACGAAATAAACGTGTTGTTTTCGCGGGAGACTCAATAGGCCGAAATCAATGGGAGTCTCTTCTTTGTATGCTGTCCTCTGTAATTCCTGATAAGGACTCAATATACGAAGTGAATAGAAATCCCATCACAAAGCACAAAGGATTCTTGGTTTTCAAGTTTAAGGATTATAATTGCACAGTAGAGTATTATAGGGCCCCTTTTCTAGTACTGCAGAGTCGCCCTCCTCGAAATGTTTCATCACGGGTTCGAACCACATTAAAGCTCGACAAAATGGACTGGATGTCGTCCAAATGGAAGAATGCTGATGTCATCATTTTCAACTCGGGACATTGGTGGAATTACGAGAAGACCGTAAGAGGGTAATTATTATGTCACACCA